CTCAGTGTGCCTGTAACTTTGTCATATGTGCTATTAAATAATAAACTGTAGTCTCCGCTTCGTATTGCTTTCTGAATTCATATACTGTTGGAATTTATTTAATAACGACTATCACGATGATTGATAAAAGAAGTCTAAGGAATTATCTCGAAGTCAATCCACTACAGTGTCGTATTCCAGAAAATAAGTGTAACTAGGTCTTTTAATTGTATGCCATTGTTACCTTCGAGAAAAATTATTATATTATCGATTAGTATAATTTCAGTGAAGTTTGATTAATGTCTCTCCACATATATTTATGTATCTGAGTATTTATGAGTATTTTATGATCATTTAATCAATTTTGTCACACTTTTCAGTGATAGTCCAGGCGAAACCTGCTTTCTGGAAAAATAGGTGTTAGAATATTTACAATTATTGATTAAAATTATTTGTTACTAGTTAAAGCGAAGGTCGATGGTTTAATAGGAGTATAGGGAAAACGTCGTCAGTCAAGCTACCTGATTTTCCTGTTCTTATTAAAGAAAGAGGGTCTTTTACTTTTGAATTGTTAGCCTATGGCTTTGTGGAGATCGTAGAATTTTCATAGATTAAGTCACAAACTGATCTCAGTTGAACCCCTATTGAAAGTCTAGTATGGGACTCCTCAACAATGTACATCCATAGTCTTTTCCTGGAATCAAACCCTAGACCTCCCGTCTCACGCGTTAACGTTTAACTTGTAGACCAGAATAGCATGCATGTAGAATCGAAATCAGCCGATTTATTTTATACTGAATATTATCTAAGACATTTGAATAATACTTGAGTGAATAGTTTTTAAACTGAGCTCACTAAGAACCGAACAACTTTATTCAGTAAAATAACGGTTTTCCGAGGTTAGCTTGATTTGAAGATATCTTTTATCACAAACAGACACCAACTGTTGGAGTTTTGAAAGACAGTTCAGATTGGATAAATGTCCTGTTGAATTTTTGAAATTCTAAATAATAAATTATTATTATTACGATAGGGTCGAAGTCATGATTTTATAGTTTCAAGGCAATCATAGTACTCCTAGACTGTTAATTCTAGGTATATTCTTTTATATACTCAAATTTGACAAGCGTGTGATTATAGTTGCTAATTGCTTGGAAATTCCAAATTAAGATGACGCAGTTGTCTGTCACTTCATGTTTTTAAAATCATCCGTGGAACATGTCAGTCCTTAATTAAAAGGTAAACATAATTAGTGGTTTCTGCATCTTCTTAGATAAGCAAAAGTTATGTAGGTGTAGTTTTGTGCCATTTTTTGTGATCCGGATAAGCAATAAACAAGTCTACTGAATTAATCTCCATGAATTATAGACTATCACCCTTTAATTTTACAGTGGGAAACCTTTAATAACCGAAGACAATAGGCTGAACGTCTTAAATAACAAATGACTATACAGAAGTACTCATTCAATATTCGCTGGATACATCGATGCACACATTTTAACGCTGTAAATGTACATAAAAAGTTAATGACCTTCAAATGAAGTTATTGATCATCGAATCGAAAATAAATTGTTGACCTACTAATTTTTAGTTTCGAAGGTTTGTTTACAGAATTGTTTTAATTCAGCTAATCGAAATCCCTTGAAAATTTTTGTACTTTACAGTAGTTTGCTTTTAATGCACACAAAAAGCTAAGGATTCAATTTACGAATTTTTTTAAGATAATGTGTTCTTTCGGTTTTAAACCAGTCATAATGTTTCATAATCACAGGTTATTCCATAGTATCTTAGGAGTATTTGATCAGTTGGAATCTTAATATGAACAAGATAAAACACTTTGACAATAAATAACACCTTGAAGGCTGAACGCTATCACAGATTGGCGTGGTTGTTGTCTATAGGTAGTTTAATAACCCGTTGTCTAATAACTGAAGGGCTTTGTGGATTTCAATGAATACCGCTTAAGGTGCCATACATGACTGCCCATTTCTGTTGATTATTTTACAGAATTGAAGGAAGGTATTGTCATACACTAATTTGTTTCAATAAATCCCCAAAGTATTACAAACTCCAGTCTTAAGACTCGTCTCATCTCTGTTTCTATTGGTTGAGACATTTCCAGATATCTTCAGAAAACAGGCTTCATTATTTCAACTTTTGATCGGGCTGTACAAATACAGACGATTCTCTCGAATTTAGTTAATTATCAATCGTCCACAGTGAATTGACCATCGGAAAGCATAAGAAACCATCTGGGTATGAGATTTTCATAGATACGAAAAACTGGCAGTTTTCCTCACTTTGCATCACTTCTGAGGTACACACAGCTAACTGAAAAAATTGATATCTTCAGTATCCTATCTTCATAATGATCTCTAAACATTTCGTGAACGCTGTGAGAGTTTTCCATAGTTTTGCATTAGTTACTCAGAAAAACTGTTTCACTCTAGCAAGTGTTTAATGAATAAACCGAATAAGTGGACTAAACTGGCATATATCACCGGCCAATATTAATGGATATTTTTAAAGCTTAAAATCAACTCCTACATATCTGTTTAGCCTAATTATCATTCTTGAGTAGTTGGAAGCTTTTCATTTAAATACAAATAAAACTATCTGGTAATTTTGAAATCTGCTTAAGCAAATCAATCATTTTTAATTTCGTTATCTTTGAAATTTATCCCGTTTTAAGGTTCTTCCTTGAAGGAGTATGTTATTATGAGACTAGAAAAGCATTTTTTATTTACGAAATTTGTAAATCCTTCATGGTTAGTTTTCCAATTTTAATTCAAATCTGACTAATATTATCTATTTAACGTTATTTAATACACATGTGTATAAACATCTATGTCTGCTTATTGTAAATCTTGTATGTTAACTGCATTGAACTAGAAAGTTTGTGGTATTCAAATTAAGTTTTTGATGAGTCGATGACCCAACAAGTGATTAGAAATGTTTTTCCATAAATGAGCTTACAGAAGATGTTTGAAGTTGATCAAAATGACAATCATTTAATGTGGTTTATAAAGTGAGTAAACTTCATTTTTGAATCTGTGCAAAATAATTGACAACTATATATATATATGTCTTATTTGACAAATGAAATGTATGGAATACCAACTGTGAGTATCAGCTTTACAAAAATATCGTAGTGAATTTGTACTGAATGTTTTAATTTTTGTCTCTATTCAGCTAGGATAGGTTCATGCATTTATAAGTGTAATATCAGCATGATGTATCCCGTGACTCATTGTAGTAATGTATCGGCAGTCTTTAGCAGCTTGTTGTCCGTTTTGTATGCACCATGAAAGCAACCTCTTTTGTTCACCTAATACTTTTATTCTCTATGGAGTAAATGATTAGTATTTATTACTGTTAAATTGTTGAGTGTACTATGAATTCCTTGGTTAGTCTACTTTGTTCTCTCGTTATTCTATTTTTTTGATAGTGCCCTGCATCTTAGTAGACTTGTTATGCACCAATCTGCAGTCTCTGTTTTGCAGTTAAGGCAGCGTGGTCACTCAGATAGTATTGTAAATGATAGAAGGGTTTGAGATGTTTTAAATCTCTAATCAATACCACTTAATGATCTTAGTCAAACAATCAATGGAAATTAGGAAGGACTGGATATCACTGGACAAGTTCCGGTTTCAATCTCTGGTGGGAAAGAGTAGCAGGTTGGGAATTCACCTATGATAGTTTTCACAAGTTCCATACACAGATGTTTTCGATTAGTTATGAAACGTCTCATATTATAAATACATTTGATTTTAAAACTTTAAAAAGCCTAACTTAATTGAGAGAGGTTGAACAGCTCATAATCTGGAATAAACTGATTTCTATTACTGATCTTATTTAAGAAAATAGTTGTTTGAATCATATGTTCTTGAAATTATATTTAGTCTTGTTTTAGAGTTCATTTCAAATGATAACCTTTACCAATTAAGTGAGTATTTAAAGCTGAATATCTTACTGTTTGACAACACTAAAGTTTATTCCAAACATTCGTCGATATTATCTGTAACTAATTATCTTCCAACTACTTATCAAACATGATACTCATCTACCCAAACGACCTCTTGTAATGCAATGAATGTTTCCATGAAAATAAAATGACTTGTGATTATTGTTTACAAAAATTAATTTAATATGAAATATGTCAACCTACGCTTTCTCGAACACTATTTATAAATTAATTAATACTTGAGCAAAGATAAACCTCATATTTTCATAGTCCTTTGTTTATATGGAATTTTACTGATCATGCATCAATGAATTTAGTAACTTAACGTTGAAATTCCCTACTTTTGATGAAAAGTGGTTGTAATTGAATCACTACCAAGCCTTATAAACTAGATCTTCAATTATCATAGGTATAAGATTGCTGAATCACTTCACTAGTGAGTTCCAACTAGCATGAAACCAGGGTTGAAAGCTCCCTGATGGTTGATGTCAATTAGCTAATATAAATAGTTCGTAATAAAACTTCACTTTTGGCCAACATTGTCATGCTGGTATGAATTAAGAATCTACTCTTTAAGTAGTTCTAAAATATTTCAAGTTGGCAACTTCTGAATTCATCAACTTTCTTCTTTTGTACTATATAAACTTGTGTTAATTTAACTGAGTTATTTATTTACTCTAAAGTAGTAGCTTACATTAAGTCATGAAACGTCAGAAATATAATTTTTCTGCTAACTGGGATATAACAAAAAAAATTTCTACTGACCTTCCATTCAGTAATCATTTTGTTTGAAATTGTCAAGTCTAAACTTGGCAGTGATACCTACATTTGTATAAGCATGTTTAGTTCACTTAAAACTATATGTCCATACTCATTAGTTGTTGGTTTTGTCTAAAAATCAAGATCTGCTGATCAGACTAATAGAGTTATTGTTTGATTGGACTAGAAAAATTAACATCTATAGGGACATAAATATTGACAAACTAGTGAGATTAAATTATATTTGGTTGCGATAAACTTTTAGGTAATAAAATGACAATAATAAAAAAATACTTACGTATAACAAATCATCACTTTACGCATTGCTTCACGTGTTGCATGCAACTGACCATTAAGTGATCGGCAAATGTTGACTAGTTGATTTTCACGTATTTTATAAGTTGCATTCATATCAGCAATTAAATGTTTAATATATTTTTCTAAACCATAAAGTCCTTCTCTGACAATTAATTGATCACTGGATTTTGTGGCGTCTACTAAACGCTGATCATTAATAGAATGATAAATACAGTGAATCAGTTTTTCATTTTACTATCACATTAATTGGTAGAAGGTAATAGAAATAAATCCACACAATTAGAATTCAATGTTAGTTGGAACTTTTTAAGAAGTAATCTTGGGATATCTGAACTTTCTCAAAGGATTCAAACGAATACAGGTCGTTATTCGCTTAGTCGTCAGTAACTTAAAAGCTGGTGCATGCTTGCGTCAGTTTAAGTTTCCATGCAACATCAACACAGAGACATAAAATAATTAAGACTAACGCCTAAATAATGGCAGTAATGGTACCATTGAAAGTTGAAAAAATTAAGAATAGACAGTACGATTTGAGGAGAAAGAATGGATACGTGAAATAAAAGTGTACGTATTTTGGAACAAACAGTAAATATATCTGTGTCGTTGTGATCGATATTGAGCTAAACTACCTATTATCTTTTACACTCGTAGCTTTCTTCCAGCCTACTCTTACACTATCTGTAATCACGCGTCCAATTAGACAGTAATAAGTAACACATGTCCTAATCACCTTAATCAGTGAATAGCCATTACATCCTAAACCAATGTAACATGTACCTAACCCGAAATTTGTTCACCGGGTGGCTCCATAAAATTAGGGAATATTTTGAAGACACCTAGAATCATATAATAGTAACCTATTTCCCTTTTATATTGATGGATTTCTATGTTGAGTTAATGCATTCATAAAAAATTGAATCTATAGCATTTTTTGATATCTAGTCAGTTTTTATCTGATATTATACTGACTTTTCCTTAAGTTAAGTCATATCACTTCGATGGAAGTATTCAGCATCAAAAGGAAAAGGAACTGATAACGTTCATTAAGTCAATTATAATAATTTTGAAGGATACTGTGAATCAAGACTTAGTTTACAATTCCAATGTGATTTAAGTCTGATCATACATCAGATATTTTCGAAATAATAGTATAACCATTCATAGTATAGATATTTTATTTTATTTAAAAGCAAATAAACGATAAAAATATTTTGTTTGGTACCTTAATTAGTTTGCTCAGTATGCCCTGATACGGCCAAGGTTGGGAGAGTCAGCTCTCCCTCTCAAAATGCTCTCACATGTACACACATATACAGCCACTATTAGGGAAGTCCTACTCGCTGCCTTCTCGTGGCGGGGTGTTGTTTATGAAATTGAGAGGATGAAAAGCGAATATCCGGCACCTTAATTGGGTTGGTGGATATGGGGATCCATCTAGGGGAGTTGGAAAACCCTGATTCCAAACCAGTGGCGGATTCCAGGATCCTGAAGGAACAAATGGTGTATGACCTTATTGTCGGTCACCGGCTACCATGGTACTGCATCTCCTAAAGATGCTTCACTGCCTTGTGGATTAGACCTTCAGGTCAAAGGCTCGAAGTATGGCTCCCCCCAAAAAAGCCACCTGCTTTGATCTGGGCACTGGGACAGTATCACAACTCAATTGTTTTAATCAATAAATTTATTCTAATCAATCAATAAAAACGATATTTTCTTTATAAAAAATTAGTCAACATTAATTTACATGAGTCGATTATACTCAATAATTTCATTTGTCAATAAAATTACTGTGAATGATTCTGATCCAACTGTCAAGTTGATGAAAAAAAAACATTTTTGTGATTACGTAATTGTATAAAAATGATTGACAAATGTAAAATAATAGTAAACTATCTAAGTGATTCCTATAATTTGCTCATGTATGAAGTTATTTCATATATATATTTATCGAACTAGGATTGATAATGAACTGTAAGCAAACAATCATACATGAATTTGATATGATTGACTTTCGAAGTAAACCTCTGATGCTAAACTATGCTTTATAATTGAAATCATTTAGAGAAGAAAAAACAACTATTTTCGATATGTCTAATATTCTCTTCTGCAGTATACATGACATTATCTATGAATACTGTTGTACAGTTCATAATCACGTGGTATTGCAGATGGTTAGAATATAAATGGAAATGAAGAGGAATCAATTTTGAATGTCATAGTTGGATAGCTATTGCACATTAATGGAAAAAAAACTGTATTATTTGGTTGGGAGTAGTGTATAGGAAACCCTACATGACCTGGGTTTGATACTAGCCGAAACTCATCATCACTTAATGAGGGCTCAAATCTAACAGGGAACATCAGTTCCCTTAAGATTACAGCTATACTTTCGTGCAGAGAATCAATTAACAGGAAATCTAGGTCATGCAGAGTTTCATGTTGACTAACTTCAATCACATAATATTCATAAAGTATAAATGCATTATTATAGATCATAACATACAAAATATTTTTGTCGGTTTATTAGCTAACAAAAAGTCTTACAGCTATTCCATTTATATGACAAATTAAACGAGCTTTAAAATGATCTAAGAATCGAGTTAATTTTCGATTCGTATTTGTTAATTCTATTTGAAGCTGATCACGTTCTTTCATGATTAAATCCAATTTCTAGAATTAAAGAACAAAATACATGAAAAATGTAATGAATTGAAGAATGAACCAAACACATTGAACAGAAGTATGTGTTGAGTTACTTGCTGTTCAATGTACTTTACAAATTTCACATAACGAACAATGATAACAGTATGATAGATTAAAAATTACTGAATTTACTCATAAATGAATGATTTATGAAGATTCATCAGCCAATCAGGTAGTTGGTGATGAACTAAAAAGCATATAGTGAAAGATATGTGTGAATGTTAGCTACCAAAACTTCACATCAGTAAAAGACTTCATAATAAGGCAGAAAGACATAGCGAAAATTAACTTGGTGAGAAGTAAAAAAAGGTAAATTTATATCGATTCCAGTCAAAAATTAAACATATGAAACAAAAATCATATCGAAGAACGAGAAATATAGGTAGTGACATTAAACTTATGATTAAGGAGATTTAGGAATAAATAAATCATTCAATCTATGCCTTGACTATATTGTCCTATATACTTGACTGCCAAGTCTAATTAGTATACTTAAATTAATGATAAACATGTTTCATGACCAATAAAGAGTAAAATTAATAAATCAAAACACAAGATGTCTAAATAAGATAGTATTATATTATAATGTAAGTTTAATCACACTTTTCTAGTACTTTAATACTTATTTGCTTTATTAATTATTCTAATGTTTTTCACATTGTGTAGAAATATTGGCATTTGACAATATGACATGTTTTTTTTCAAAGTTAAGGGCTTCGGCTCGAAACTGGTAGGTCCTGGGTTCGAATCCCGCGAGAGTGGGTTCGTGGATGCGCACTGCTGAAGAGTCCCATAATAGGACGAAACGGCCGTCCAGTGCTTCCAGGTTTTCGATGGTGGTCTAGCTTCAATTGACTCATGATTTCAACTTTGAAAAATACTGAAATCTCCACAAATCCCCTTCTAAATATAACATGTAACATGGATTCGGCATCAAATGAACAAAATCCCAAAATGAATCTTTGCCATGTTAAAATGTGTTTGATAAATATTTGACTCATAATTTAAGTATTTAATTCAGATTATAAAAACATTTTTATTGCTGATAATCAGCATACTGTGTATTATTATTAATATCACAAGAGTAATGTAAAAGACACAGGCAAAGAAACAATAGAAATTGCATGATCAATGAAAGCATAAAAGTAATACGTGGAACATAATTTATAAAGCAATCAAATATGTATCCTTTTTAAGATTCAGACTTTTTGGAATTGTGTAGTTCTGTGTTTTTAACAAAAGTCATATTAGCATTGAACCAATTATCTGACTAGCTTTTAATTTCAATGTCTTTCTTGTTATTTCCGCGGAGAACATGCAATGTTGGTCATACAAATGAAATATTTCTAACTCATAAAATTCACTACTTCAGTGACTTTTTTAAAAACTAATTCAGGTGAATTCATTTTATCACTGAAGTGTGGGTTGAATAAATTTAAATCTACATAAATTGGTCTATGAAAGAATTCTTAGATAACGGTATCTAGTGTACTCAGATAAAACGTTGGAATTCATAGTGCTTTATTACATTTTTATTGTTGGATTTCATAAGTGGTTAAAGGAAAAGACAGTAAGTCACAGATATATCTTTTATAGCTCTTTGCTAGTTTAGGGCATAGAGAATCTGGAGAGGCCCGATGTAATTCATGAAATTATGAACTTTGTCCCACAAGGTCATAATCAAAGATAGTAAAAATGAGCTATTTCAGCCGTAATAGACTTCTTCTTGGACTGACATGCTTATGCAAATTAACCACATTTTGCTAAGCATTATCATCTTTTCCAAATATTACTACCAATTGAATTCTTTAAAACCAGTTGAAATGTGGTATTAAGTAAGGCCAGTTCTAATATCCCGTTAAACATTGGTCCCTTCAGGACAGCCTATACGCCTTACTGATGACTACAAAATGTCATGAAACCAAAGTTTATAGGTTTCAATGTCACCTAAAACTATTTTATGTCAAACGATATAGATTTTAGTGTCAAATCTGTTAAACAAGCGGGCAAGCTGACAGTTATTAAATAGAAAGAAGTGAATGAAGGGTGAAAGTTTACTTCTAACATTTTATAAAGCTCCCAATAAATTAAGCGCACAACAAATAAACTAATATTTGAATCATAGTTTTTGAATTACAGTTTCCAGTATGTCAAAGAAAATGCACAGTAACTTCGTATACAATGTTAATAGTCTTGCGAATAGACTTCATAATTATATGTATGTTTTTCATTGGAACCAAAGCATATAGTCAGTGAAATGACTATTTTCCATTTGTAAGAAGCCACTGTAACTAATTTACGTTAAAGTTGATAATGTTAAGTCGGAAAATGTCAGATTAGAATTTCCATTTATTATTATAATATTGATAATAACCAGAAGACCGTAGAAACGGTTCCGTTAAAGTAAGGAAATTTTCTATTATTCTGTACTCGAAACTCTGGTGGGGATCGGATGCACGACCTTCTGTCCATTGAATCTCAGACATGTCAGAAAAAAATCTTAACAACAATGAACGTCGATTTATGTCACAAATTTATTGGAATATGAATCTTACCACTGGACTGCTATTCGATAGTTTCAGTGATTGATCGTTCTTTGTAAGAAGTGAAAGCCCTGAACTTAATCTGTAGCACAGTCATGGAAGCACACTACTGAGGAGTTTGATACTAGGACAAAATAGTTGTTCTGTGCTAAAACGCTACTTCAAGTAAGATACACTTTTAGTGAATCGACCCTTGAAAATGTGCCGATCCTCTAAGCTACATGATCTAATCACTTAACCAATCGTAATTGTATATTACCTTCTAGATGTCATATTAATAAGTAACATGTGATTATTTGCTTTTCGGGGCATTAACTCGTGAATTATGTCTTTTTAGGTACAGCTGAATAGATATAGATAACAGAAAAGTCATATTGACTTTAGATAAGCAAATTCCACAATATAAGATTGGGTTAAATAAATACAAACGAGCTGTTTTATGGTCGAATCTTATAACAAATTAATGGTTTGTTTAATATCTGCATACCATTATTTACTACAGTTAATAAAACATAACATATCTGTTATCAGAAATAATCCAAAATAACATTAATTCATGAAACAAATCCGATGTGCTTATATCTGTTTACAGTATAAATGTAATTTTTTTTCTAAAATCCTGTAGAAGAGCATCCGAGAACAGGGTTAGAGACAAGCCATAGTTTTTATATCCCTAAAACATTCAAGTTACTAATATACTGGGTTTGTTTTATAATTTTTAAACAGTTCCAATCTAAGCTATCATGAGTAATTTGACTTCACCTAACTTCGTTAACATATATTTTGTTATAACTAAATTGCTAGTTTAGACTCTAAATCTCTGAAAGAATCTATTTTACTTCTATCATTTTGTTTACTTAGTCGTTTACAATTTTAAACAACTTCAAGTTTTCTTAATTAAAAAACATCGAGTCTACATAGTTCGTCAGTCAGTCCGTCACATATAAAGTAGAACCTGGGAAAAATGCACACAAATGCACGGTTGTCAGAGACAATAATTGAATAGATCATCACCATTGTAATCGATTCTCATTTAGGTCATACAATCCATTCAACCATTGGTAACGATAATCATGTGAACGCAAATCAGATATTTCAGGTCTACCAACACGATTTGGTCTAACAATTGGTGACCTCATGAAGTGATAAAACATCTTAGTTTCAATGACCTTATTTATTGCCCTACTTACTCCGGCGAAAAGGAAGTATTATGAGTCAAGATAGCTAATCTACTCGGAGGGTAATATCCAGTCTTTTCAATTATAGTCTGTAATAATGCTTTTCCTTTTATGGACAGATTCTAAAAATTTTACTCTGAACCGCAGAAGACAAAATCTAAATAGCAAAATAATATAAATCCATTTTATTCGAAAAACAGTCTTTTTATACGTTATTACCATGCGTTGAATGCAGAGGATGACTGATAATGTTTTGGAGGAATATTTAAAAGAGTGAAGCTGGCTTCTGTCTACTCAACAAAATGTTTAATATGACAGTCAGATGTCAGAAATTCCAGTATTATGGTTATCTATGATTGCGTTTTTTAGTTCACATATATTTCCCAAAGCTCTTATACTGAAAGGACAAAAACAAGAGCCAGTGTTCACATCTCCGACCACATTCCACGATGCTGCAATGAAAAGGACTGTAAATTTAACCACTGAAATTGTTCCTCATTTTCTCTACAGTGAACATATTATTGATGTTTTAGTTGATGTTTTGATTTAACCAATAAACAGTTTCGAATATATTTCGCTTTACGGAAGCCATTTCAGAAAAAGATATAAACGAAATTCAAGCATTTAAATTGACATAGTTATCGATCACCACTGATTTTGATGACGTCCTCTTGATGATTCTTTAATCAGGGTTTTTTCTATGACCTTAATTACGATATCTAACTTCATATCTCTTTTTTCTGAGCATTATTCATTTAGTCTAGTTTCTAAGCTCTACATAGTCAGTGACGTAAATTTTCGATTTACGAAGACTACTTTCAGTGCTCTTCTGAGTTTTCGCTTGTGTAACATTCAGATATTTAACCCGTAATTAAACAAACCTTTGTATAGTTTCTCATAGTTCTTCTACAACTACTGTCCTTCATCATTCATAAATCTACCGTCCAACTTCAATGTTATTTAAGACTTTTGAAGTAAAGTATATATAGTTGTTTTCTGAGATTTTAATGGTTAACACTGTTGTTTCTAAGTTGATTATCCTTAAATTAATTGAACTCGTGAATTATTCTACTATGTATGCTGTTCTCATTTTAGTCCAATTCTCGAGGATTAAAGCAGAAGCACTAAGATAAAGGTAGATAGTAGCTAGACGTGAAAGTCAGGTCACCCATTTTATTCTACTTGAGACTTGTCAGTTGAATACACCTACATTCCAGTATTGATGTTCACATAGAAACTCGAACCT